AGAGAGAGAGAGCACAAGCAGGGGGAGCGGCAGGCAGAGGGAGAAGCAGGCTCCTTTGCCTAGCAAGGAGCCCGATGCGGGACTCGATCCCAGGACCCTGGGATCATGACCTGAGTCGAAGGCAGACGCCCAACCGACTGAGCCACCCAGGTGCCCCACCCCTTGCCTTTTCATCTCCTTGCCCAGATGGCCTTTTCAAAGTGCTTCGAAATCCTCAAATAACCAGTGTACTCGGATTGGCTTACAGATCAACAAGGGCTTCACAATCTTGATCTCATTTGTTCCTCGCAACAAGGGCTACAGAAAAAACAAGGATTATTAGCTCCATTCCGCAGATGAGAAGAAGACTGAGATCTTGGTGGGTGAAGTCACTTGCCCAAGTCACACAATGGGTGGGAGGTCTCTGACTCTAGCTGAGAGACTAAAGGGCATCCCACTCACCTAGTCCCTTCTTATCCTGGTCTTTTTCCTGGCTGAGGAATATCCCCTCCCACTGCTGTGCCATTCACACCCCCCCAGATGCCAAAGGAAGAGTTTCCCCCAAGCCCAGAGTGCTGGAGGCAGCACCCGAGCAAGCCACATTCAGTGCCTTACTGCTACTTCAAGAAGCCTGAGATCTACACACACTGGCACACTCTGTATGATCAGCGACAAGAACGGGATGCCCAGAAAATGTTGTGGAAAATGAGAGATCACCCTAGGTGTGCTTTGCTCCTCCCTATTCTCCACACCCTTCATACCTTCTAGGAAAGAGAGGAAGGAGAAGGAAGGAGTGGGGTAGGGGGTGGGGCAAATCCAGCTTACAGATCCCAGAGAGGAGCCTGGGGTAGGAGGCGGTGCATCTGTCTTCCTCTGGTCCCATCTCTGAGCTGGGCTGAGGACCAAGGGCAGAGGCAAGTTTGTGAAGTACGAGGGAGGGAACAAGGGGACCAAGGCTGCCTGTGCAATTTCTCACACAGGCAACTCAAAGAGGGCACGCCCATCCAAAAATTCCATCTCCCTATGAGCAAGTTGACTATAAAATCTCGGATGGCATCCAAGCCCTCAGACCCTACTGGGAACCCCCTGAAGTGGCAAAGATTAAAGGTCAGGGACCACGGTGGGAGGGAGACTGGGGAGACTCCCTTTCTGTGGGTGCCCTTACCTTGGGCTCACATTATCCTTCAGCCCTCAGTCCCTGCCTACAAAATGGAGGGAGGAAAGGAAAAGGGATTGGATGAGGTCCTCTCTGTTTGAAGTTCTACAACTATATTTATCCCTTTCTTCCTCTCCACTGGCTCCCTTGGATGGGCAGGAACTCACCAAAAGCCTAGAATCTCCCAGAGAGCATGAGCAGTTCTATGCAGCACAGGTGAGAGGCAGCAAGGGTGGTGGAGCATGGCCACAGGTAGGAGGTGGCTGAGCTGGGGAGCAGAAAGATGCTTGGGGTGTGGGGGGGTGTATTCCAAGACAAAACTCCAGCTGTGTCCAGAGGCTGAAACTCATGGGGGTGGTATCTGAGCTCTCTTCCCTTTCTTCCACCCCGTTCTTGCAGGCTCTGGGATGCCTGGGTGTCAGTGACAAGTTTGTCATAGAGGCACTACGGCAGGTGGTGAGTCTAGGGCTGCATGGAGCTCATGAGAGGAGGAAACGGGGTCTGAGGTATGTGGAGCATGGGCACAGGGGCACAGACAAGGCTCGCCAAGGTGCAAGGATGCTGGGTCAGATGCAGTGAGGAGAGAGCTGCCAGCGTGCAGCATGCCCCATCTCATGCCCTTGGCTTTCTTGAAGGGCAGCTTGGTGGGGCTGGGGGAATCTGAAGTTCCCCTCTGTTGAACAGAAAAGATCCTCAACTGAAAAGCAGAAAAGAACTGGGACTGAGTTCATTCTCTACCTTAACTGAATCAATGCCCCGTGCTTATGGGCCAATTTATAACGGGGAACATGCGTTCTTATCCATATTCTCATTTAAATCTTACAAACTGGGAATAGACGGTTGTGTCTGTATTTTTCTAATGATAAAATGGAAGCTCTGTGGGGCGCCTGGGTGGCTCAGTTGTTAAGCATCTGCCTTCGGCTCAGGTCGTGATCCCAGGGTCTTGGGATCGAGCCCCGCATCAGGCTCCCTGGCTCAGCGGGGAGTCTGCTTCTCCCTCTCCCACTCCCTCTGCTTGTGTTTCCTCTCTCTCTGTCAAAAAAAAATAAAATCTTAAAAAAAAAAAAAATGGAAGCTCTGAGAGTGAGCCAAGTATGGCTACTAGATACCAGATAGGGATCGGAACGAAAGTCTTACTCCCGAGCTGTGTTCCTTCCACTGCACCATCCTGCCTGTTGTACTCTGTTTGAGCTTAGAAGGTCACTCTCTAGGCCTCGGTTTCCTCACTTGTAAATGAAAAGTTAAGCTGAGATGATTCTTAACGCTCTGACATTCCATCACCTTACGGCATATCTCCACCACCTGCCTCTTAAATCAGGCCCAAACTGGTCCAGAGAAAGTCAAGTATGAGGCCTGTCGAAGCCTGGCCATGCTGGGTGAGTATGTCCCCTCCCTGAGGGGCAAGTGGGAGAAAGTGAGAAAGGAAGCAGTGCAGCCCCTTTCCCCTTTGGGTAAGGACACCCACTTCTACCTAGCATTTGGCAGGATCTGGGAGCTAGCCTAGTACTGTGGGCAGAGAGAGGAAAGTGGGGTGAAAAGGAGAAGAGATTGGGAGGGAGTGGGTGGGTCCCTGGAACTCCAGCCATGCTCAGCCAGCTGCATCAGTGTCCTGGGAGGACGGGCAACACCTGGGGATCCAGTACTTAGAACTTCTGTCTCGAGGGCACAGTGGAGTCAAATAGGTCCTGGCAGAGAGGAACAGTCCCTGAGGCTCTGCCCTGACCCAAGGACCTCCCTTGTCCAGGCTGCCTGAGTAAGCACGTGATCCAGGTTCTCATCACACAGCTGAAGGGGCAAAATGAGGGGCAAAGGATGGATTCTCTGACAGGGCTACGAGAGGCTCTGAACTCCTGGGCTGCTGTCCCCAAAGACAAGGTGATTGGGAGAAGAGTCAGTAACTGGGGCAGGTAGGACAAGGTAATTGATGGTGCTGGCTGGGGTTAGGTCAGGGAGAAGGTAATCCCTAGCTCCTAGCCCTGATGAGAGAAGACACTGCCCTCGTGGAGTTCCCTGTGGAACAGTTTCCCTGAATAGAAGCGCTGGCAGGGCCACGTAGGAGTCACACAACCCCTGACAAGCCAGCTTTCAGTGCCGCGGTCTGTTCATTTCCAAAATGGGGGAGAGTCACACTCATCAGGATGAGCACTGAGTAATGTACAGAACTGCTACATCACTAAATTGAAACTAATAGAATGCTGTACGTTAACTATACTGATACAACATGCTATTTTTCAATAAAATTTTTCAATAAATTTTTCTATTTTTCAATAAAAATTCATCAACAGATTAAACAAAATGGATAGTAATTATAGCATTGTTAAGAAGATTAAATGAGATAATGTATGTAAAGCACTTCGTTCAATGCCTGTGCTTTTTAAATGGTAACCATTATCATCCTTAAAATAACCTACTAAAGAAAAAACCTCTCTCAAGAGGGGAAAGGGATCAAGACAGTCTGCAACACTACTCAAATTTTTTCCCTTTTAGGGTCCTCTTACTTTGAGCCCATCACTGTTCCGTGTGAAATAGAAGTCATCATTCATCCATTTACTCAACAAATATATATATTTTAAATCAGCTATCACATGCCAGGCCCTGTCCCAGGCCCTTAAGATACATCAGTGAACCAAACAGACTAAGATCCCCTGCTCTTGTGGAGCTTACCTTCTAGTTGGGGAGACATATAATAACCAGTAAACTTAATTATATAGTATGTTAGAGGTGACAAGTGCAGTGGAAAAATTAGGTAGCAGGGTGAGGATGATCAGGAATGCCAAGTGGGGATGGGACTAAGCTGCAGTTTTAAACACAGAAGGGAGGGAAGGCTTCATTTAGAAGGTGTCATTTGAGCAAAGACATGAAGAAGGTGAAGGTGTTAGCCTTGCAGATATCTGAGAGAAGGCATTCCCAGCAGAAGGGCCAGTCAGTGCAAAGGCTCTAAGGCAGGAGGGTGCTTGGCATGGTCCAGGGACAGCAAGGAGGCCAGAGTGGCTGCAGCGGAGTGGGAATAGAGAAAGTAGTAAAAATGAAGGTAGGTCAAAGTAGTTAACAGGAGACTCAATTATACTAGATCTAGATCGACTAAATCATACTAAATCATTGCTTTCTGGACAACTTCAAGTACTTGGACTTTTACTTTGTCTGAAGTAAGGAACAGAGCAGTGACATAATCTAACTTACATTTCAAAAGGTTCACTCTGCTGTGCTGAGAAAAGATGGGAAGTGGGGGTGGGGCATCAGGTGGAAGCAGGTGGACCAATTAGGGGCTACTGAAGCAATCCTGGTGAGATATAATGGTGGCATGGATCACGGTGGTCGTAGTGGGATTAGTAAAACTCTTGACAGGTTGAATGTGAGCTACAAAAAGCCAGTGAGGAAACAAGGATGAAGCCAAGGTTTTTGGCCTAGTGGCTGAAAGGATGGAGTTGTTATTAACTAAGATGGATCAAGTTGCAAGTGGAACAGGTTTGGAGGTGATATCAGAAGTCCAGTTTTGGACAAGTTATGTTCAAGATGTTACTGGACCTCCAACGGAGACAGCAGGTAGAGTTGTATGTACGATTTTGAGTTTAGTGTATGTGCTGCCAAAGCGAGCACACGATTTTGAGTTTAGAAGTCTGAACCAGAGAAAGGAATTTATGAGTTGTTGGCATATAGACAGCCTTTAATGTCATTCAGTTAGATGAGATCACTAAGGACCAAGTAGGAAATCTTGGGGCATCCCAATATTAAGAGCTCAGGGAGAAGAGGAAGAACCAGTAAATAATGACAGCTGGCCATTAGGTAGGAAGACAACCCAAGAGTATGGTATTCTGAAAATCAAGTGAAGAACATATATCAAGGAAAGGAAACAAATCAACCACATCGAATAATATAAGGACTGAGAACTGATACACAGATTAACAATGTAGGAATCCTTGATTATCTTAACAAGAACAAGTTTGGTGGGGTCATGGCGGTGTAGGTCTGACAGAAGGAGTTTAAGAGTGAACGGGAGGAAAGAAATTAGAGATGGCAAGGATGGACAACTTTCCAAGTTTTGCTGGCAAGGACTGGCACCAGGGGTTGATTTTAGAAAAAAGAAAAATAATAGCATGTTTCTATGGTCCAGTAGTTAGAAAAATGACAAGATAACTTTGAAGAGAGAATAAAGAGTCGTGATTAGGTAAGAAGAGATGAGGTCTAACACACAAGTGGAGATGGCCAGAGTCTATACTAATAAGAGCAGGGAAGAATATATGGTTGCAGGTGTTGGACAGAAATGGTGGTAGGTGCCTCTGGAACTTCTTTTCCAGTTGCTTATATTTGCTCAGTAAAGTAGGAAACAAGGTCATCAGCTGAGAGTTAAGAATGGAGGAAGAAGTGTTGGAGGTTCCAGAGGACAGGGTGTGAATCAGGAGCGCGGGAAAAAGAATTGCCCACGGAAGAACAGTATGGTTACTAGGTAGCACTAAGGGTCTACACGAGGTTTGTGTTCACACATTCAAAGCGAGATCAGTCATCGTAACTGTGTGCTTTTATCCAGGAGGTGCAGGCACAGAGTAAGTCGAGAGTTGACTACAATGAAGCAAGAGGAGGTAAAGGAGTTGAGTAAGGCAAGCAAGTGACTATAGTAGGACCATGGAGTTTAAGCTGGGTAGAGAGGGAAGAAAATGAGGAGCAATGAAAAGGTGCTCAGTGGACTGTTAATCCTTGTGGAGTCCAATAATTACTGGCAAGATAGGAGCTGGAAAGATAGGAGGTGATGGTCAGAGAGCGGGATCCATGAAATGGAGATCATGGAGAAGTCACAGTAATAGATAATGATAAAAACCTCTCTGTGAAAATTAATGGCTGACATAGAATGGAGGGCAAGGACAAGATTATTGGAGAACAGGAGTAGGATCAATGACATGTATATTTTTTTAAGTGTCAGGAATTAAGATAGCAGAAGTGTTCGAGAGTGACATTCATCCATCCACAAGATAAAGTCGTAGAGAAATGAGATAAGACCTAGGAGCAAGTAGAGGACAACAAAAATAAGGGGAAGTGGGTAAAATAATCTGAGGACATGAGATTCATTCTGGGGAGGAGGGACAATGCTCTGGAAATAGCAGTGAATTGCCCTCTTAACAAAGCCTGGCTAAAGACATAGTCCCCCTGCCCATTTCACTTCCTGTCTCCCTCAGAGGACTCAGGTCGGGGATGAAGAGAAGTTGGTACCTGTGCTGCAGATGCTGATAAATAAGTCATCGGACGAAGCAGCTGTGGAGGCAGCCCTGTGCTTGGGTTTCCTGAGGCCCTGCAGCAACACAGCTCAAGAGTTCTTGTTGCAGTGCCTGAGCCAAGGGTCCAAAACCCAGCAGATGAAGGTGTGAAGGGCAGGAGGCTGGGCTCCCTGGGGAGCACTGGGGAACCAGAGGCCAGTGCTGACTTTGGTATAGTCTGGACCCCGTCATACTCAACCAGAGAAAAGTTTCAGCAGGGAGCACTGCGGGGCCCTGTGTGTCTATGAATATGTATATGCATGAGTATACGGGGTCACATAGATGTGTAAGTGTACATGTGTCTGTATATATTTGATTTGTATGAATGTTCATTTATAAATGTGCACGTATGTGCACACATGAACTGAGGTTCTCACTCAAAAGGCGAAGAGGCAGGAGACGGACCCCATCTGTTCCCCATGAGTTTTAGGCTCAGCCCTCAAGCTTACCTGGCCATCCAGATGCCTCTTGGCCCTGTACACCCTACCCTACCCTGCCTGCCCCCCGCAGGCACTCAGGATGCTGGTCAAGATGATGCATGTACACACAGCCACAGTCACCAGGGCCATTCTAGACCAGCTGTGCTATTCTAGTGTCCTGGAGGTAAGCTCTCAGACTGCCCAGGACCCTTCTTTCTCCAGCACTAGCAGAGGGGTGAGGGATAAGGAAGAGAGTCTATCCTTTATACCTTCCCACCTCTGCTCTCAGCACCGCTTTGAGGCCACCCAGATGCTGAAGACCATTGGGCTGGAAAAGATCCAGGCACAAGAGCTGGAGGGATTCACATTTGACCTGCTCTGGAGGAAGACATATAATGAACCTTTCCTTGTAAGTGAGACCAAAGGTCCCAAGCCCAGGCAGCCCAAACCCTCCTCCTTTCTCTTCTCTGAAGACCTCCCCCAGCTTGGCTCCCACCACACTGCCCCACAAAGTATCATATTCACTCTAAGGCGCTAAAGCACTCCCTGTTCCCCTAATACTGCCCATGTTTTCAAGCCACCTTGCTTTTGCTCAGGCAGTTCTCTCAGCGAAAAGTGCCAAGTCATCCCTCCCTCCCTCTGCAAGGTAAAAATTGCCCAATGCTATTATTCACGCCTCCCTCCTTCTGCCCTGTCACAGTGATTGCTCCTGCAAGGCCAGTCCACCTTCTATGGGAACCTTTCCCAAACCACCTCCAACAGAATGAATCCTGCTTTCCTCTGTGCTCCTTTGCTTTCATCTTTCTGTAGATTGTTACAGAACCAGCCACAGAACTTCTAAAGACATTTTTCTAAAATGTAAATCAGATTGTGTCTCACCTCGGCATGAAACTTTGCAGGAGCTCCCCAATGCCCTCAGGAAGGTTTACATTGCCCTTTACCACTCAAGGCCTGCTTCCCTCTCTAGCTTCATCTCTCCCCACTCCTGCTCAGTGCCACACACCAGCTACGCTTAAAAATGACCTTGTCCTCATTTATACCTGTTATCGCAGTGTAATTCCTCAGAGTGCCCCACTTTGAAGAGTCTCAGTGTGGTCACCTAGCTAAACTGAAATATTTTCTGTTCCCCAACCTCTGTGCGCTCTCTCCTGCCTCTAAGCTTTTGTACATGCCCTCCACTCTGCCCACAAAGTCATCCCGCCCCCAGCCCTCTACTGGTTAACTGCCATCCACCTTTCAGGCTTCAGCTGAGGCATCACTTCTTCCCGCAAATCTTGCTGATACTTGGACTAAGGAGACCCTCCTCTGTTCACCCTATAGTTAGTTCAGTTGTAACACTTAAAACAGTAGGGTGACTGCCTACTCGCTGGTCTGCTTCCCCTACCAGACCATGAGTTCCTCAAGACAAGGACCGTATGTAGCACAAAGGTCAACATTCGGTAAAGGTTTGTGAGCACTTCAGGGTACACTCCTGTATTCTTTCTCTGTTGTCCCACCTTAATCCTCCTTCAGGCTATGAGGCAGGCTGTGGCTGAAACTGTGGAAGAGCTCAAGATGAAGCCTACAATGATGAACTTGGTGGAGGCGTGAGTGGCTCAGGCTGGGAGCTGCCAGAGCCAAATCCTAGGCTGTGGGAAAGGGGCACAGGGTCGGAAAGAGCTGAGAATCTGATCCCAGTTCTTACTTCTCACTTGCCTATGCCCCTGGCCAAGTCACTCTTTGACCCCTAGGATTTTTCTTTATCTGTAAAAGGGGGCCAATAATACCTACCACTCAGGGTTGCTATAAAATGTAAGAGCTCAAGTTAAGATGAGGACACGAAAGGAATCTATAAAAAGTAGAATTCTGGACAGATGTGAGTCCTAATTGTCATTCAGTGCCCCCTGGCAAATTGCAGTACCCGCCTTTCCCTTCCCAGCCCCTTTCCTAAGTAACGAGAGGGAGCAATTGATGAAATTAGCACCACTCATTGGCCTTAAGCCTGACTCACTCTGGGCTGCAAGAAGAAACAACCAGCCTCTCTCCCCTCCCCTCTAATTGGATAACACACTCATTCCCTTCTACACAGGCAACTGATGAACTCAAATGCCACTGCACGCCAGGAAGCAGTCACCTCTTTGGTAAGGCCAGCTCTGCTTCTCTGGCCAGATGTGTTGGTGGTGGCCGGGGGAGTAGGCAACTGAGCACAATTACTTAGCGGCAGAAAGGGCTATAAAGTTTGGGGAGGTTTGCTGGCTTGTTTTAGAATTCTGGCCCTACCAGGAATTCAGGGGTAACGTCTTCTTCAGGACTGGAGGTAGGCGGGATAAGGCGCAGGAGATGGGTATAAGAGACATTGCTTAGAATTTGCAGGAATTGTCTTGACCCTTCCCGGTGAACAGTATGCGCTGGAACCCAATGCAGTGGCCCCAAAAGGGAAAGAAAGGGATACGTCAGCTGGGGAGCCATAACGCCCCCTCTCTCCAGGCCACAGGGTTATCGGAGGGGGACTAGAATGAAAAAGAGCACAGATGTGCACCTTGCTAGGCTGGCTACTTAGTCACTCTCATTCTGCCTCTGCCAGGGCGTCCTGGGGATCCGCAACCCGCAAGTGTTCCACTTGCTCCTGGACATGCTAGACACAGAAAAGAGCCAGGCTGTGAAGAAAAGCGTAAGGCATTCCCGCCCACCTCCTCCACTTTCCTACCCCTCCTCTAAGCCTCTCCCACCCATCCTCACCACTTCCTCTTTGTCAGGAGGGAGGAAAGGGGAATGAACCTCGGACATCATCCCTTGACTTCAATACTTGGGGCCATAGTGGCCTGTGGCCAGAGCATCCCCTCCCTGGGGCGCCCCCTCCGCTCCTAGCCTTAGCCTGAAGTGAGCCAGCCATAGGACCTTTGTTTCAATGCAGCTACAAGAAACATTAACTCTCTTGGCCTCAACTGATCCCTGGATCCAAAACAAGCTGAAGAACAAGGTTCTCTTTGTGTATGAGGCACTTAAGACTAATGAGGAGGAAGGGCCTACAAGGTTCCGGAAAGAGCCTGAGAACCCAGAAGAGTTAACTATCCAAGACTTTCAACTTGCACAGCTGAACCCCTTGTTTATTGCAAAGTCCAGAGCCACATCAGACCAACAGAAAAAGCTGAGTGCCCAGAGAGGCTCTGCCTTCTACCTCACCTCTGCCTTCCCACCCTGTTTCTCTAAACCAAAACACAAGGAACCAGCCACAGGGCCCTGGGTGCCAAGGATCAGGAAGCAGCTCCAGATTCTTGCTAAAACCTCCCAATAGGTCAGTTCTTCGGCCCAAGTCCCCACTCTCTCCCCGAGGTTGCGTCTCAGGCTCCCCCAAGAAAACAATCTATACCTATCTTCCATGAATAAATGAGTGTCACTCTACCTATCACTGCTGGTCCCTTTGTCAGAGGCTGCATGGAAACTCAGGTCTCCTCACTCCTGGTTGAGTGTTAATTCACTCAAGCCATATGTCCTTTTCACAAAGGGAAAGAGCCAGAGCTGCTCCAGTGGCCAACCTGCCTCCCTAAATCAAGCCCTTGTTTATGCCCAGAATTTGATGAGCCTCTGCCCAGAGTGGGCTACAGAAGGGAAAGTAGGAGAAAATCCTGGAAAGCTTGGCTCTTAGACCATTTCCTCTAACATGTTGCCCCTCACCACCACTTCCCAGTGGTCAGGAGGTAACAAGGTTATACTCAAGACCAACCATCTCTGCTGTCTCTTCACCACCTGCTTTCTGCCTTCCTCAGGGCCATGCCCTGTGACAGGCCCTATTTACTCTCTAAAATTGCTTCAGTTTTCTCCCTTGTTTGTTCTAAAGGCTTGTTTCCCTTTGCCAATAGGACCTGCCACACCAATCCCAACAATCTACATCCTCCATCAAAAAGAAAAAGCCCAGACTTTGTGTAGTCAGAAAAATCTGAAGTCTAAATCCTAGGGTCCATCACTTTCTTGAACTTTGACTTTGGACAAGTTAATCTTTCTGTTTCCTCACCTATAATAAAATGAGAGTAATGTACACTACTTCAGAGAGCTCTTCTGAGGAGTAAACAATAATATAAATCCTAATAGAGTGCCTAGCATCATATAGTAAGCACTCAAATGTGAGCTGCTTTTCTCTCTTTTCCTCTCTTCAGTGTTGTCATGTGAGCCTGTGACCACCAGAGGTTAAAAACGTCCCACCACCCCTATTAATTCCCCCAATCTGATTGAAGTGATCTAATGTGAGGTCAACTTCTTCCCATTAAGCAGAAAAAGGTCAAAGTAAAATAGATGCTCCTTTCCATTTCCCCACACTCCAGGTTCTAGAGTAGTCCAGTTCTTCTGAATCCAACATGATGTGTGTCACTCAGATGTATCTTCCTACCTACCCCACCACTTCCAGATACATGTTTTGCCTCATAGAGTTGTAAGTAAAAACCAAAAGAGTAGTGAAACTATTCTGGAGTATAAGCAACATTGCCTCCACTAGTGTGGCACAAAGACCAAAGATGGTAAAAATGATCTTCCTCTCTTGCCCACTCTGCACCTTTGGGCCAATGAACAATCTAAATTTCCAAGGTATTTGGATCAATCTAAATTCCAAGGTAATTTCTAAGGCCCAAATTTCCCTGGGCCTTAACAGCCTGTGGGTATAAACAAGGGCTTAATAACTACATAATTCAGGCTCTCAACTCCTGCAAAATCCTGCCCACCGATCTCCAACCCCTGCTCCTCCTCCTCCATATTTCTGGCTCTCTAGAGGATGGTCTTATTAGTCGACCAGATACCAGTCTCTGCTCAACACCTCAATCCTAGTTTCACCAATCCGCATATCAGAAGATTTGACAGCACTGAACATAAAGCTTTGCAGACATGTATCATATGACCTCACTGATATGAGGAATTCTTAATCTCAGGAAACAAACTGAGGGTTGCTGGAGTGGGGGGGGGTGGGAGGGATGGGGTAGCTGGGTGATAGACACCGGGGAGGGTATGTGCTATGGTGAGCGCTGTGAATTGTGTAAAACTGTTGAATCACAGATCTGTACCTCTGAAACAATGCAATATACGTTAAGAAAAAAAAAAAAAAAGAAGATAGCAGGAGGGGAAGAATGAAGGGGGGGAATTGGAGGGGGAGACGAACCATGAGACGATGGACTCTGAAAAACAAACTGAGGGTTCTAGAGGGGAGGGGGGTGGGGGGATGGGTTAGCCTGGTGATGGGTATTAAAGAGGGCACGTTCTGCATGGAGCACTGGGTGTTATGCAGAAACAATGAATCATGGAACACTACATCAAAAACTAATGATGTAATGTATGGTGATTAACATAACAATAATAATTTAAAAAAAAGCTCTGCAGAGAGTACCCACGATCTGGTACACCACCAATGTACTAGAGCATTCCCAGTACCAAAGCCACCTAGATTCAACACTCTGACCAAAATGCTTAATCCACGCTGTGGCCAGATTCTCTCTGAAGCCTGAAAGCCCACTTCTCTCAGCCAACAGGATCTGTTGGTATTGCTCTTTGGACACCACCCAAAATATAAGTTCCCCCCCATTCTCTCTCCTCCTCTCTTTCTAATGAAACCTCTGAATACACTTTCCGATGGCAGCAGAAACAACAACAAAAGGCTTATACACCCTCCTCCTCTTCCAACATTCTCATCCATCTCTGTGCTATAACTGAAATCTGGTGCTCTCCCTTGAACTAGCCTCTTCCCAAAGTCTTAGGTGTTGCTCAACCTCCTCCATTCCTTTCAATGTCACCATTGCCCTATGCCTTCATATAAAAATCACTGCTTCTCTGAGGGTCTTGGATCTCCAGTTAGCCCACCCTCTGGTCCACTTCTCTATTTTCCCTCATTCATCGCCTGAACCTTAGTGTTCCTATCACCATGATGGTAACAACCATCCAATACCCCATCTCCTCAGTTCTTGATCTCAACTACAAAGGTTTCTCCCTTCCATTCACTTCAGCCACCCACTTCCATGGCCACACCTAGCCCCTGTCATCCCCGGGAATTGCTTCATCTCCAAAATCCTGAACATCTACTTGCGGACCCAAAGCTATCTATCCAGCTCTTTTTATCCCCACTACCAGTTCTTTGAATCTCATCAATAACACTATGCTCTTAACATCCCTACATTCTTCATTAACTTCCTTTTTTTCTTCCTACTCAGCCTGGACTTCATCCATCAACCACTATCCTCACTCTTCTCATACCTCTAGTAGGTATGAGACAAATTTGACAAATTTTTATTCAGATTACTAGTTTCTGACTAGTAATATCCCTAACCCTGGATCAAACTGCCTCTGTTCCTATAAGCAGGTTGCTGATTAAAGATGGAGAAAAATCACATATCCACACAGACTGTACCCACAGAACACTTGTTCCCTGTGTTAACTGAGCTTGTATTGTTGCCTGGCAATTTTATGGGTTCCATACTTTCCTATTTCCTACAATAGGAAATTGTAGGTTGTTTCAAGCCTTCTCTGCTAGCCTCACATTTACTACATTCTCTTCAAACCTTCTATCATATTCCGCAACTCTCAGCAGACCATTATACTTTACTATACTTGGAAGGGAAAAAGACATCAGATGGAATTACCTCAACTTCCTGCCACCTCTTTTATAAGCATCCTTCTACGTAGTAAAGAGCACAGGGCCAGATCCTTGGATTAGAATCCTGACTCTGCCATACGCTAGAGATGTGATCCTCAGCAAGTTGTTTAGCCTCAGTGCCTCTGTTCCTCACCGTACCCTAGGAAAAGCCCCTTCCAAGTGGCAATCAAAATCATTTATACCATTCACCTCTTCTCTGAAATGTTTCCTTTACCTCCTTGGTTCACAGCATTGTTGTGAGAATTAGTTAACACACAGATTGCTTGTAACAGTGCCTGGCACATGGTAACCTCCCAATAGATGTCAATCATCTGTTACCATCATTACCAGCATCTGCAACTATCCTTACCTCCAGTTAACAATGCAAGAAGCATTCTCCTCTTCTAAGGCGAATCCTTCACCGGTGCTCTGGTCACACCATTCCTTCAAGGGATGTGAATATTAATTATCCCCATTTCCTTGCAAGGAGTGTATAAACATGCTTAATACTCACCCATCTTAAAAAATAATCTCCCACAAACCCACATCCCTGCCTAGATGCCTCCTCCTCTTAACTCACCCCCCCTCTAACCACCCTTCATAATCAAGATTCTTAGTTGCTCATATTACTGGTCTCCATTTCTCTAATTTCTATTATTCACCATCCCACTACATTTTGAGTTCAGAATTCAATTCTCTACCAAAAAGGCTTTTGATAAGGCAGTGGTTCTCAAAAGGGGCAATTTTGCCCCCAAAAGGACATTTGGCAATGTTGGGAGACATTTTTAATTGTCACAACTCGGGGCTGCTACTGGTGTCTTGTGGTAGAGGTCAGGGATGCTGCTAAACATCCTACAGTGCACAGGGCAGCCCCCCACAGCAAAGAATTATCCAATCCAAATGTCAGTAGTACCAAGGTTGAGACACCCTGTGGTAAGATAATTTACAACCTCCATTATCACTAAATATGAGTGCTTTCTATCCTTTTTAACAGACTTGGCCTGGCTTGAGCACTTGACACCACTAGCTTCTCCCTCCTTAAAATCCACTCTTCCTTTGGGTTCTACCAATTCCTCACTGGACATTCCCAGTCTCTATCTCAGGATCCTCTTCTATTATCTCAAGTATTAGCATTTCTCAGGGTCCTGTCCTAGGCTCTTCTCTCTCTACATACTATCTCCCCAAACCATTAAAATCAGCTGAGGCTCTTTTATTTTTTTAAATGCCCAGGCCTAACAGATTTCACTGTCTTGGAGTGGAACCCAGCATCCTTGTGTTTTAAAAAACTTCCTCACTAATTCTAATATACAGCTTGGATGGTGAACAGTACTCTAGACAGTCTTACTGTAACTGTATCCACTCGGCACTTTACCATTTATATATTAATAGCTCTCATTAATCTCAAATCTGTATCTATAACAGATTCATTTATTTAGTCAATATTCATTGAGTACCTACTCTGAGCCTAACACTGTTCTAGGCAGTAGGGTAGAACAGTGAAAGACAGACAAGGTTCCCTACTCTCCTGGAGTTTATATTCTAATGGAGAAGAGAGAAATTGACAACCACAAAAAGATCATTCCAAATAGAGATAGATAATGTGATGACATTATAAGAGGAGATATGAGAGTCACTGGAGAGAGGCAGGGGTTTTTTTTGTTTTTTTTTTGAGAGAGAGGCAGTGTTTT